GCGTGTCTGGGTTTGGATGGGACCGTTTTCTTAAACTGCATTCAGCTTCCTCTGTTGAATGCAATGAATGCTGGTGAAACACAGGCTGCTATCGCACAGCCCTGTGCTCAGCCACCTTATCCTTTTTGTCTCCAGAGTATGAACTTACACTTCCAAATGTCTAAACTGCAAGTTTGAGATGAGTCTTTCTGTGAGGAGAGTGATTTCAGCCTGGGCTGCTCAGACCCAGCGTGTGGGGCTTCATTTGGATGTGCAGCACCTCCAAGAAGCAGTTCTCTGGGATGGGAGGCCGTGTAATTGAAGCCCTCCTGTACTGTTGTAAGGGTCTGTAGAACCCAAACCTTTTATCTTTGAACTGGAACGTCAGTATACTGCAAAATGGTGCTGCGCTGCACAGCTGCTCGGGGAGGTGGTGGGGTCACCAGCCCTGGGGGTGTTCCAGAACTGGGGGGATGTGGCACAGAGGGAGGTGGGCAGCGAGCACAGTGGGGTGAGTTGGACTTGGGGATCTTAGTGGGTCTTTTTCAACCTTAATGATTCTGGGACCCTATGATTTTGTGATTCTGTGAACAGTGGAAGAAGGAACGTGCTTCTGTTCCATGTGGGGCAAAGAAGCAACTGAGTATCAGCCCCGTTCCTATTCCCTGCAGTCTGTGGGGTGCTGTCTGCTCTTGCTTAAGCACTTCCTCCATAACAAGTTGATACCTTACTGTCTCAGCAGCCTGTGCTGTAGCTGTTGGGAGCTGTTGTGGAAGGATAATTCTAGGGAGGGTTGAGTGGAACAGCTTCTAAATCACAGTTCTTGGACTGAGAGAGGTTTCTCAATTACCAACACAGCTGCATTGTCTTCGTACAGATTGGATTATAGGACAGTAACTCCTAAAATCAGTAGTTCTCTCCACTAATTGTGCCTTAAGTGTCTCATTCATCCTGAAGGAAGCTGTTCTGGCTTGCTTCAGTTGTATGCAAAAGCTCCCACCTGATCGCTCAGTGAAGTGTGAATGCCTGCAGTGCTGCTTGCCTTCCTGCTGCTGTCGTTACTGACAGCCAAAAGAGATCTTTGGGGACACAGGAGCTTCTTTATTTCCCCTCTGGTGGGCTGCACACACAGCTTCTGGGTGCAGTAGTCATATTCAAGCAAGTAAAAAGAGGATGGCTGTGTGCAGTTGGTTGGAAGCAAGAGCCCTAGGTCACAGGAAGAGGGGGAAAGCTGAAAAAAAAATCCATGTCATTTTTTGAATTATGGAAGCATGAAAAACCCCTGAACAAAGTTCTGTGCTTTTTTCTGACTTTGCTTTTCAAAGTAAGGTGAAGGCAAATGCACTTGGACTTCTGCAAGGGAACAGCAGACTAAACTGAAGGAACATGCAGCAAAGTGTTTCAGGGTATACACACATCTGTAAAGAATAACTGAGTTGCTGAATTCTTGTTAACTTAGTGGTACATGAGAAATGTTTGCTTGCCATTGCATTTAAGCAGCAGAGGTACGAGCTGTGTGTATGTGCAGTGTGATGCAGGGGTGGTGGTGGCAGCTGAGACCTTCCTTGGAGGTCTGTCTGCAGGGCAGCTCTAGTTCTCCTCACCAGGTTCTCTCTGCAGAACTTTTTGCACTAAATACCTTTTCCAGCACAAGGTGTATCTTGCTAGAGAGATTGGATAAAGTTCTGCTTTGTTTATTGTTTTTGTTGTTAATGAGGTTAATTAAAATGAAAACAGACACATCAGCATGGTGTTACAGCCTGGGAACTCACGTATCGATGCGGGAGGTGTGCAGGAGCTGAATACCCACTGCTTGAGGAGCAGCCTGCGGAGCGCACAGCCTGGTGATGCTTCTGGTGATGTTTGCTGTTGTCTTCCCGGATCATAGAGGTGCCTGGGAAGCAGAGATGAGGCTCATCCCTCCTGTGCAGGCAGTGCTTTCTCATGTAGCCTGGGATGGTTTTGCAGCTCTGAGAGGTTACTGACAGCTTTACACTTCTGTTCATTTTTCCAGGAAGCGCGACGTCATGCAGAACATTATGCAAATCTTGGAGTCCGTCCAGTTGAAGTGGGAGCTGTTTCAGAGCTGGACGGACTTCTCCAGGCTGCACCTCTCCAACAAACTGGCCATTTTTGGCATCGGCTACAACACGCGCTGGAAGGAGGACATTCGCTACCACTACGCGGAGATCAGCTCGCAGGTCCCACTGGGCAAACGGCTCCGGGAGTATTTCAACTCGGAGAAGCCGGAGGGCAGAGTCATCATGACCAGAGTGCAGAAAATGAACTGGAAAAACGTTTACTACAAATTCCTGGAGATCACCATCAGCGAAGCGAGGTGCCTCGAGCTGCACATGGAGATTGACTGGATACCCATCGCTCACTCCAAGCCGACGGGAGGCAACGTCGTTCAGTATTTATTGCCGGGGGGCATCCCCAAGAGCCCGGGTCTGTACGCCATCGGGTACGAGGAGTGCCACGAGAAGCCCCACTCGCCTCTGGCGGAGCCGCGGGGCGCCGATCCCAGCAATGAGACTCCGGGGGAGCTGGAGGTGCCATCGCCGCAGGCCTCGCTGCGGGTGGAGATGGAGTCCGCCCGCATCATCTACTGTTACCTCGGCATCGCCGAGGTCAGGACTCTCCAGCAGTGCCTGTTTTTACATTTTCAGGCAAACACCAAAACCTTCAGCAAAGAGTGGGTTGGGATCAACGCGTTTTTATCTCAGAACTGTGTCGTAGAGCCTGGGGTCTCCCCAAAATCCATCTACATCAAATTTGTGGAAGTGGAGAGGGATTTTCTTTCCGCTGGCTCTTTGGTAGAGTGCCTGGAAAAAGCCATTGGATACCCCTTAAAATTCAACAACTGAATCTCGTCCTTCATAAGGATTAGGGCTTCTGCCCGTTTCCCATCTCACCGTCGGACGCTGATGGATCCTGCGCACGGCCGGGAGGCGAAGGCGTTGCTCAGCAGAGTTTGAGGGGGGCTGCTGGGCCGTGGAGCAGCGCGGGGCGGCTGTGGGCAGCGCTGAGCCCTGCCCAGCACATCCCATACATTCCATGTCGGACGGAGCGGACGTTTCATACGAACAGCTGTTTTTCCACAATGTCTCATTTTTACACATCCGTCTCTATAAGTGTTATTACAGATCTGAATAAATAAGCAATAGATAATGGCGAGTTAAATCTTGAATCACGTTAAAGGAGACTGTTTTTCAAAGCCACCCTTAGATACTATTGTATATAATTTAGAAATTCACTTTTTTCACCCATCCAGTGTTCTCCTATCTCCAAACAGTGTTGCCTGCAAAGACTTTTGTTTCTGTGATGTATTCCACTTTCCTAGTAGTGTTGCCATATCCGCTTTTATTTTATTTTATTTTATTTTTTAACATTAAAATAATTCCCGGGCTTTTATTATTTTTATTTTTATCGGTTTATTTTTTCAGTTCTAGTTAGCCTCTTTGTGAGAATAACCTGGCAGCTGGGGAACATTCTGTCAAACCATGCTTATGGGTACAATCAAAGCTGTGAGATGGGGGGGGGGAGGCGGGCTGGGGGCACGCGGGCCGGGAGGAAGCATTTGAAGCCTTTCAGAAGTGTTGCTATATGTGCCCCATCACCTCGCTGGCTGGCGCCGGCGTTTCGGTTTTCGGAAGCTCATTGATCAGTGACGTTGTGACATACAATGAATGTGTCAGTCCTAATAAAATCGAGCAAACGCGCACGGACTCCTGGAGATGTCTTTCTCCTCTCTGGGCGGCGTTCCGTGGGCATGGAGCCTTCCTTCTGTCGGCCATCAGCACCCAGCAGTGCTCGCTGGACCTCCATTCTGACTCCTGGGACCTTCGCTGCTGTGCCGTGGGCAGCAGTGAGGAGGGATGGCGGATGCTGCTGTGCTGCAATCCCTGCAGGGCTCACCCAGAGCTGGGCGTGCTGTAGGGACAGGGGCCGCCTCATGGTCTCCCTCCCCGGCTCTGCAGGTGATGTTGGTGTGCTGGGGGGGTGCCGGGCTCTGGGGATGCTCCGTGTGCAGCTGACCTCAGAGCCGTGACCTTGGGAGATGCCTTCACCCACTGCCCTGCCTGCTTCCCCTGTTAAATTTGGGTCTCAGCATGGGGAGACCTTTGGTGCAGCACAGCTTCAAAGGACTCCTTGAATTTCTGTGAGGTATGGTGACAATTGCCCTCCTATGGCCAATTCTGCTGCTTCGTTTGTGGCTGGAGAAAACAAGCTAAAGTCCAAGAAGCCACAAACACAGCCTGTGGCTGAGTGTGGGGCTGGAGAGGGCTGGGAGTGTTGGATACACCAGCACTGGGGCTATGCTGTGATGCAGGGCTACCCTCTGACTCAGGCTGGCAGGGCTGCTGGATTCCTGGGGAGGCACTTCAGGATGAAAGGATGCTTTTAGAGCAGCGCTCTGACAGCCGCCCTGCAGTGCCCAGCAGTGGGGACACTCAGAAGGGTTCCTGGAGCTGATCCCAGCAGAGGACATCCTCTATCCTTGTCCCTTCTCAAGGATCCCATCTGCAGACGGGGTTTCTGCTGTGTTTCTGCTCCAGGGCTCCAGGTGCCACTCAGCTCCTGTGGCTCCAGCTGTGCCCTGCAGCCAGGCAGCTCCTTGGCCTGCTTGTTTCCAGGCTCACTTTAACCCATGGGATTGAGATGTTCGTTGTTTTGTGTTTTTGTGGGTTTTTTTAATGATTCTTTTTAAGGATTAATGCTTTTATCCCAGGGCACGAGATGAAGAGGAGGAAGAGAAGAAGTGTGTGTTGGGGGCACTGGGCTCCTTATGGAGCAGTGCCATCAGCATGCCATCCCTTTCCACAATAATGGCTCTCGTATCACAATTAATTATTAATAGCCCTAATAACTAATAAATAGTGATAAGATCTGTTTGGATGGGAGGGGAGGCAGTTTGGACCCCGGGAGGCGGGGCCAAGACGCCCCGCCCCACAATCCCCGCCCCCACCTGCGGGGCGGTGCCCACCTGAGCTCCGCCCCCCCCCCCGGTTCACCCCCCCTGTCCCGGCACCTGCTGCGCTCCGGGATGGTTGCGCTGCCGCCGGGCGCGCTGCTGCTGGGCGCGCTGCTGGGTGAGCGCCGGGGGTGCGTGGGAACCGCGACCGGGGAGCGGCTGGGGGGAGCGAGGGGCGGCGGGGGGCGCTGAGGGCCGGGGTTGGGGAGCGGGATGGGGATGGGGGAGGCTCTGATGTCGCGATGCCGCCCGTCGGGCGCTCTGGGAGGTGGACGCTCGGGGTCCGGGGGGTCCCGCGGCACCGCGCCCCGCACCGCCCCGTGGAGCCGAACCCCGCAGCGCGGGCGCGCTGTGCTCTGCTCCCACCGGGGGCATTTCCCCGCCGATAATTCCCCCTCCCGCTCGGCATCGAGCGGAAAAAATCGATGTATTTTTTTCCCGTCATCAAACCTGCCGCCCCCCCCCCGTGTGTGTCTGCCGCTGCCCCCGGGCCGCTCCGCCGTGCCCCGCTCCGTCCCTGGGCTTTTTTCTTTCTTTTGCCCTATTCCTGAGGGTCGAAGGGTAGGGCTGCAGGCGCAGGGGGTGCTGCGGAGGGACGCAGCCCTCCGAGTTTCCTTCGAGGAGGAGGAAACGGCCCCGAAGACAATGGGGACAATGGGTGGTGTTTCCTCCCCGGCGGGGCGCTCCCTGCCCCCGATGGAGCCGCTTTGTAGTTGTGCTACTCCGTTTTTATCATTATTATTAAAGAGCGTTAATTAAAGGTTGGTGGGATGAGGCGCTGCTCTGCTGGGGGGGGATGTGTGCGGGTTCCCCTGCAATGTGCCCGGCTGTGGGGATGCGGTGCTGCAGGAAGGACCCAACTCACCCTGAGTGCAGAAATACAGAGAAGAGGCGCTTAGGGCCCAAACCGGTGTTTTTGGGCGGCCACACAGAATGACAGAATCAAACATCCTTGGCACCTGATGGGGTCTGCGTGGGGTCACGGCACAACAAATGATGGGGGAAAGACAGGGAGGAGGAAAGGAGAGTGGGGTGATGCTGAGTGCCCACTGCTGTGTCGGTGTCCCCACGCCGGCGCTGAGCCGCAGGGGTTAAGCTGCCCGTCCGTGTCTATCTATAGCAAAGTCGCATTTTTTTCCTGATTTTGGCTCTCCAGAGGATACGGCGCTTTCTGCCCCTGGGTCGTGAGAACGGCCGCCGTGTCCGTTCCCAACGGGCGCAGCACAGCCCCTATCTGCCCAGTTATAAATAGTGCAGGGCTCGGGGGACCGTCGGGGCCGGGTGGGTGCAGTGCTTCCTCGTGGGTCCTTTGACCTTTCTCGAGGCTCTCAGGGGCCGCTGTCCATCCACATTCCCTCTCTGGCACCATTTCCGCTCCGGAGGAGCGCATTCAATCTGAGCCGTCATCTCTCGGTTTAATTTCTGTCTCGGTTTCACATGGCCAAATCGCCTTAATCCTATAGAGCGAGGGCATCGGATGCAATCCGCCTTCAGCTCATTAATTCCTGGTGGTTAGTGGCTTATAGGGTCCGCCTGGGGGCTGTGGTTCTGGGGAGGATGCTTTTGGCATGAGGATGGTTTTGGTTTGTTTGGATGGGAGAGGTGGCATTTGGGGCTGAAATGGTGGGATTTACCAATGGGACACAGGGTGCCCATCCGGGGTCACGGTGCTCCATGCAGGTGCAGCAGCTTGCTGTAGAGCACTGCTGGAGGTGTGTGGGGATTTAAAGGCTTTTTCCAAAGGAAAAAAACTCGGCAGATGGGCTCAGGCAGAGGAGCCCTCCCTGGGCAGGTGCTTAGCTCAGGGCAGTTGGATGAAATCGGCATTTTTCATCCCAAACAGCAGCCGGGTGGCCCCCAGGGAGGGCAGTGCATGAAGGGCCCATTCCCCCCCCCCGCCGTTATGCATATGCACGCCCCAAGCAGCTTAATTTTTTCGATCTGGTTAAAGCATTAGGGGATTTGCAGTGGCAAGGTGGCTAAATCTGGAGCTGATGCCAATGGCAGCGCTGCACACCGAAGGGTTCAGGGCTGCTCCCCAGGCACTGCGTCCCCACCAGAGCCCAGGCAGCAGCACTTGGAGGGCGATTCCTCCTGCAATGAGGAGCTGCAGGGCACCTCCCCAAGGAAAAGAGTGATTTTGGATGCCAGGGTCTTCCAGCAAGGCAGTGCTCACACTTTGAGGACACCCCACCATGCTGGGTGTGAGGATGGAGTCACGATCTTTTATCAGCCTCCGAGACTTAGGAGTGAGCTGCGCTGTGGGCACAGTGCTGTGCTGTTGGGCTGTCAGTAGGTTTCAGAGTTAACGCACAATCCTAAAAGCAAAGGGAGCTGTGGTGAGCAGTGTGGGTCTGCCGTGATTTAAGTATTTCCACAATGACGAGTGCTAAATTTCAGTAGGGAGGGATGGAGCTGCTCTAAGAATACGTCCACTGAGCTTCAATGCACGGGGAAAACAGTCTGGGCCGGGCAAACTGGGACAGCTGGAGGCTGATCCTGGGGCTCGCTGGTGGAAAACAGCCTGATGATGCAGGCACTCTGTGCAGAACTGTTTGCTCATGGCCGTGGTATCCTATGAGTAATGATGGATGTATTTGTCGCTATCTCCAATCTCTGAGAGATTTCAGGGCTTTATCTTGAGGCCAGCTCAATGGGATGTTTTTGGGGTGGGTGCCAAGAGCATTCTGCTCCAGGGCTTTGTATCGCTGGTGCCGCTCAGCCCCGCTTCACCTTAACTTTGCCCATCATGTGTTGTTTTCGCTGTACTTTACGCAGGCCAGACAGATGCTGTGGGGTGAAAATATGGCATTTCCGTGGGATGAGGAGTGCAGTAATGGACCCCAGTCGCTGCTTTTTGCTCCCAGCACGCACAGCTCTGGGAATGGCACGATCCCATCTCCCATATCAAACCCAAACTGCCACACGATTCAGCCCATCTGCGCTGTCCTCTGTGCCGTTAGGGAACTGTCCTCAGCGCTGTTCTTTTAGAGTATTCTTTCATTTCTTTTTCGCCATGCCCTTTGCATCCCTGCGATCTGCGCTGCCGCCTCTGGCGCTGTTTTTCCCCCTGGGTAGGACTTAAGGTTTTATGCGCTTAGGTCGGGTTTAGCTATTTTAGGCATTGAGGTGTCTGCCCTCGCCCGGCCCCGCCGTCCCCGCTGCTCCTTGGCCGGAACCGCCCGAGGAGGGCCGGGGGGGTCGGACGTTATCGGCCGGCGCAGCGCTTCCTGCACGGGGCTGCGGGCGCCGATACCGTGCGGGGGGAAGAGCGGATGCGCGGAGGAGGCTAAAAATACCCCCGGGCTTCGTGTTGTCATCTTCCCGCCCTGGAAAGATCCCGGAGGAGTTTCTGTGTGTGGGGAAGGGGCGGAGGGGGCAATGATTTGGGGGGCTGTGCCTGACAGTGCTTTACTCCGGGAGTTAGCCCAGGCGGGCGGTGCCCCGATGCCCAAATCTTTCCGTTTGCTCCCGTTCTCCTTTTTGCTGCAAAACAGGATCTGCTCCAAATTGCAGCGGGGATGGAGCGCAGCCCGCCGTGTTGTCCCCGCTCCAGAGCATCCCTGGGGAGAGGACGTGGGGGCGGCGGGGCTCAGCGTTCCTCAGCCCCAGATGCAGACCCATTCCGGGTGCCCGACCTCGCCTGAGCAGATTATTTTCCAGCTGATCCTTTTCAGAGCAGAGCTGGGAAATAATCCCCCCCTGCAGCCGGGCACCCCCTCCCTGACCCGCTCCGGTCCCCCCTCCTGGCTTCGTTTTGGGGGGTGGGTGCTGGGGGCGAACTTTGCGGGGGCTTTGTCACCGTCACCTTCAGTAATCCCCATTTAGTACCTGTGGGGGGGACGGGGCGGGGGGTGTGAAATGCTGGGGGTGTGAAGCGATGAGGGTGCTGCGTCGGGTTGGGTGTTGCCTGTGTGCCCCCGTAAGAGATCAGATGGGGATTGCAGGTGTAGCTCCATCCCAGTGCTGTTCAGCCTTTTTGGGGTCCATCCCCAACCCCCATTGGGGTGGGGGCTTCCCGTGTTGTTTGTGGGGAAGCGGCCGTGGGAGGAAGGCTTTGTCCTGCATCCGGAGAGCCCTTCCCGTCGTGGGGAAGGAGGAAAGATTTCCTCCCAGCATGGCCTCTGGGCGATAACGGGATTTTTCTCTTCCTTGCATTGGAACAGGGAGTTGTTCTAACAATTAGTGGGGCTTTGTTTTGTTTTCTTTTCTTTGTTTTCTGTTTTATTTTGTTTTTGTATAACTGGCACCCGGGGCTGAGACATGTCCCGTTTTCCTGCGGGGCAGGTGTCTGCTCAGCTGTGCTGGAGGTGCACGTGGGAACAGGCTCTGTCTACTCAGTGGAAGGGGAGGGAGCTGTGCTGCCCGCCTGGTACACCAGCAGCTCGCAGAAGAAGCCCTACATCAGCTGGATACTGAAAAAGGCAACTGCTGAGCACTTCCAGGTGATGGGGATGGAGTAGGGGCAAGCAGGAATGCTGCCCATGGTGGTGAGATGCCCGTGATGAGGGGATTCTCATGGTACCCATGGTGGGGGGACATCCATGATGGGGAGATGCTTACGGTGCCCATGTTGGGGAGGGAACCATGGTGGGGAGGAGGTGCTCATGGTGCTTTTGATGAGAAGGTACCCACAATGGGGAGATGCCTGTGATGCCCACGGAAGGGAGGTCTCCGGGATGAGGGGATGCTCATGGGTGGTCCCCATGTTTGGGAGATTATGAGGAGGTGCTCATGGTGCCCATGATGGAGAGGTGCCCACAATGGAGAGATGCCCATGGTTCAATGCTGTGGATGCTCAGAGTATGAGTGAGAATGGAGGAGGCTCATGCAGCCACTGGTTCTCCCCAGAATAGGATTTAGGGGGAATTCCCCTCCTGCAGTGCCATTCAGATCTGTACAAGCAGATGTTTTCTCCCTGCAGATCCTGACATACCTGGATGGGGAGGTGAAAGTGGAGGAGACGGAGCTGAAGCCCCGTGTGGGGTTCCTGCACCCCGTCCTCACCCACAACATCTCACTTTTCATCAATGCCACACGGGAGCAAGACTCAGGCCAGTATATCTGCTCTGTCAACGTGGTGGATGACATCATCAGCCCGATCAGGAGCATGGCCATAATCAACCTCACGGTGCTGGGTAAGGACCCGCAGGGTGTTCTGCGTCCCCCGGTGCCCCCCACGCTGGGACTGACGCCGATTCGGTGCCCGCAGTGCCGCCAACCCCCCCAGCCTGCAGGCTGAAGGGCAGCCCCACGGTGGGAGCCAACGTGACGCTGAGCTGCGCCTCCCAGAAGGGCAAACCCTCCCCCCTGTACAAGTGGCAGCGCCAGGAGCCCACCAAGCAGGTCTTCTTTCCCCCCGCTCAAGGTAAGGTGGGCTGAGGGGGTGGGAAAACCCTGGGAAGGTTTGGTGGGGGAGAGCTGGAGGGGTTGAATTTGTCCCCTTGGTTCTGCCTGCCCCCAGCTCTGCTGAGCTTCCCCTTAACTCTGCCCGCTCTCTTCCTTGTGCAAGGGGACAGGCAAAAGTCCCCATAGCTCTGCCCACTGCTGGAACATTGGGTGAGCATCCCCTGAACTCTGCCCCTTACCAACCTCACCCTGGGGCGATGCAGGGGACCATCCCTTAACTCCTCCCGCTCCCATCCCCGCTGTACTGGGAGGTGTGTGGTGGGGTGGGAGGTGATCACAGAACAGCACCTCAATTTCTGCCCCGCAGACCGGGCCAGGGGAACCCTGAAGCTGACGAACCTCTCGCTGGACATGTCGGGCCTCTATGAGTGCGAGGCGGAGAACCGCGTGGGTTCGGCCAAGTGCAGCATCATCCTGGAGGTGCAATCAAGTGAGTGCGTGTCCGCAGGGCTGGGGACGGGGGCTCAGTCCTCGTGGTGGAACGGGCGAGAGGCAAAGATCTCCCCCACCCGTCTGTCCTGGCAGCCAGCGAGGGGGCCATCATCGCGGGCGCTGTGCTGGGCTCTGTGGGCGCTTTGGCCACCGTCGCCTTCTTCACCCAACGGGTCCTCGGCTACCGGAGGAAGAAACGCGACGGGCAGGAGGAAGCGGCCAACGAGATCAAGTGAGCGCAGCCCCACGGGGCGGGGATCGCTGGGGCTCAGCGGTAACAGGAGGAGGTTTTGCACCTCGGTGTGGCCATCATTAGGTTTCAGAGTCAACACGGGTCTTTCCCACCTTTTTTCCCCCTCCATTTGGGTGAATTCCCTTTTACCCCCCACACGGAGGGGCTCCTGCAGCTCAGCAGCATTGGGGAGCATCATCCGATGATGGGGGGGTTGGGAACAGCTGCACTTCCAGCAACCTGTGCCACCTTCTCCCTTCTCCACAGGGAAGACGCCGTGGCCCCCAAAACCCCCACTTGGACACGGACCCGCCCTGCAGACACCATCTCCAAGACCAGCACTTTGTCCTCCATCGTGGGTTCCCGGGACAGACCCTACGGAGCCTCCCCCCCCTCCTACACTGCCTCGGTCCTCACCGCTGCTGGCAGCTATCAGGGACCCCCCCGGGCCGGGCCTCATCCCCCCGCCACCAACGGGGCCCCCCGGCACCCCCCGCAGCCCGTTGCCCCCCCGGGTGGGCTGCCCCCCTCCAGCCTGGCGCGGGCCGGAGCCGTCCCCGTCATGGTGCCCGCCCAGAGCCGGGCCGGCTCCTTGGTGTGACCCCCCAGAAAAAGGCTGTTCCCCTCAGCTCCCTGCCCTGCCCACTTTTGGGGGCTTTTTTACCCTTTTTTCCATTTTTTCTTCATTTTTTTGTAAAGACGCCTGGAGCAGCCGGACTTGTCCTGCGGTGTTTAATGGGGCGGGAGGTGCCCCGCTCTGCCCTGGGGGGGCCGCGTCTCCCCGCCGATGCCAGCGCCCCGAACCAGCCCCGCTGGGTCCACTTTTTTTTATGTATCGATGGAAATGGGATATTTTTCATAAAAGAGCATTAAAAGTGTTGGGGAAAGGGTTGGAGGTGGCGATGGGGGAGGGGGGAGGGAGAGAAAATTTTTTTAGGTTGTTTTTTTTTTTGATTAAAATTGCTTTTGGGTGACTTTGTGAGGGTGCAGTGGGTTGGTGGCCCTGTGTCCCTCGGGGTGATGTCACGTGGCTGTGTGACATCACACGGGGAGCCTTCAGGGTGCCCCATCCGCCCACTGTCCCCCATGGCGATGTCCCAGCGCTGTGCCTGGTGGCACGGGGTCACAGTGTGCCCCCAGGGGGCTGCCTCGTGCTGTGCGACCTGGGCTGTCTGTCCCAGGTCCCTCGGTGATGTCACACCCACTCAGATGATGTCACAGCAGCCACCGCGCGCCCATCAGTGATGTCACAGCTCCCACCCACCAGTGCCATCACACGTGGGTGTGACATCACGACAGCCCCACGCGTCCAGCAGTGATGTCACACATCTTACAGTGCCGTGTGTGACATCACACTGGACATGGCTGTGATTGGTGACACCAGGCCGTCCACCTGCGTGTCAGAGCTCTCACCCCCACTGAGTGACGCTGCGATGTCCCCACGGCGCCAAGGACAGTGCAGCCGCTGGCAGGGACCTTTATTGGGGCCGGGGTGGGTGGGGAGGGGATGACGCATGCTGGGGTGGTATGGGGAGAAGCGGGGGCTCCTCGGCGGCAGGGGGGCTCGGCAGGGGGAGTCCAGCAGGGCCTGCAAGCAAGGAGAAAGCAGAGCTGTCAGTGGTGTGCACGGGGCTCCTGTACCCTGCACCCAGCTGCTGCAGCCTGCTCCTTTTTCATGCTTGCCTGCACCCTGTTCCTGCACCTCACATCTTGTACCTTGCACCCTGGTCCTGCACCCCGCTCCTGCACTCTGCTTTTGCAGCCTGCACCTTCTCCATGCCCTGCCTGCACCCTGTCCCTGCAATTTCTACGACTCCCTCCAGCCCCACCCCTTGCCCCCTGCTTGCCCCCCTCCCTGTCTGTGCAGCTGGGGCACCACAAGCCCTTGGGGTCGGAGGGCTCAGACCCCCATCCTGGACATTCCAGGATCAGAGGACTTTGGTGGGAAGCAGAACCCAGCACAGCTTGGCTGGAGCCCACACAAAGATGACCCCCTGCATGGATCACCCAGCGAGGCAGCCCTGATGGCCCTAACAAGCCCCACAGCCCCTGCAATTTGTAGCTTTATCTCTGCTTCATCTTCTATAAATTTTCACTGCAGCCCCATCATATCCCCAGTCCATTCCCTCTACATCCTTATAGAATCCTTATTGCAGCCCTACTTCAGTCCCATGCATGTCCATTTCAACCCAATGCACCTCACTGCAAGCCCACTGCATCCCAAGTCCATCCCCGCTACACCCTCACTGAATTCCAAATTCATCACTACCACAGTCCCACTGCATCCTGAGTGAAACCCAACTGCATCCCTCCTAAAGCCCCGCTGTCTCCCTACAGCCTCCCCACTTCACCTGCATGGCATCTTGGTTGCAATCCAGTCATCCCCGTTCCACCTCTGCTGCATTCCAGTTGCATCTCCAGCATTTTCCTGGTGCATTCCCAGTTCAGTCCCCAGTGCATCCCTATTCCATCCCCTCCATCCCAATTGTGCTACCAAGTGCGGTCCCACTCCATTCCTATTCCATTCCAGCCACATCCCAAGTTGCCTTCTCAGTGCATCCCCCTTCCATCCCAGGTTGTAACCCCACTGCATCTCTTCCAGCCCCTCCGCCTCCCACCCACGGCAGCACTGCCTCCCCCACCCCCATCCCTGCCTGGAGCTGGGGGGGCAGCGGGACAGCACAGCTGCTGACCCCAGGGCCATTCCTGGGGGGCCATTCCCTGCTCCCCACGCACCCCCGGCACCCCCAGCCCCACAGCCCGGCACCGTGGGCGCTTTTAAATTTCCCTTTTCCTGCCAGGAGACTGTGACACAGGCTTTTAAAAATAGCATGTGCTGAGGCGAGGCGTTTGGGGTGGTGTTGCTAAGGGAGAAATTCAATTCAAATCTAGGGCTTCGCCTTCCCCGCCGTTCCTATGCTAACTACTACGGTGCGCCCGCAGAATTAGGGCAGGCAGCGCTGCTGAGCTCCTGCAAGGAGAGCTCCATCACAGCGTCCCAGCGGGACGGGATGGAAGGAGGCTCGGAGCTGGAGAAGCAGGGTTTGGGCTGGGGATGGGGGCTGCAGTACCTAATCGCCGTTGCGGAGGTCTCCGCCGCGGGTGCTGTTGGCGCACTCGGCGTCCTTGGCTTTCCGGTCCATCTCCCCCCCCTTGATCTTCTTGCGGGTCATGTGCCCGCGGAAGCTGGCCTGGATCTTGGCCGCCGCCGCGTTGGCGTCGGGGTCGTCCAGGGGGATGTCCAGGATGTCCTCATCCAGCTTCGTGCAGGCGCCCTCCTGCCGGCAGCGAGCGGCCGTTATGGGGGCAGTTCGGGGCCTGGGGTCGGGGTGTGTGTGGTGATGGTGCGTGGTTGTGGGGTGGGAAAGGTGCCGTCGTCCCACAAAGTACAGAAAAGCAATGGGGAAATTGGGGAGATGTGGGGGAAGCGACTGCATCGACACCCTGCTGGAAACGCACACCCCGTGCACCGCATCCTGACCCCACAGCATCTCCCCAGGGCAGCGCTTGGAGCCGGGGGCAATAATTCACGCTGCCACCTCTGAGGAGTGGAAAGGAGTGAAAAACAGGGGAAAAATCACCTGCCATCCAAACGGGACCAGTGACACCCCACTGCCACTGCATCACTGCGTCACCCTGCCCTGAGCTCCTAAGGACTTTTGTGAGAGTTCTGGGGGTTCTTCAGGAGCAAAGGGATGGCAGCCACAGCACGTTCACCCACGGGAGAAAGCGGCTGGGGCTGATTCACACCAAGGGGTGGTCAGTGCAGGAGCAGGGGACACCGCAGCCGTCATGCCCTGTGCTGCTGGGGAGGGGGCACGCGGTGTCACTGCAAAGTGCTGCTGTGGCAGTGGGGAGGGTGTCGGAAGCTTAAGTGACAGAGCTGGGGGGAAATGCGATCGTTGGGATGGAAATGTTACAGCCAGAGGGGAAATCCTATAGCCAGGGAAGGAATTTTATACGCAGTGGGGAAACCCTATATCCACGGGGGAAATTCTATCTCCGCAGGGACAATTTGTATATCCACGGGGGAAATCCTGTCCCCAGGGAGGGCTTTGCCACCCTGCAGGCAGCCAGCAGTGTTGTGATGCCGGTGGAGCAGGAGGGCTAAAAAAGGGGGAGAAGGAGGGAAAAAATGGGAAAATCGGGAGAAAAAGGGAGAAAGGGGACAGCAGTGTGCTCTTCTGGCAGATGAGCTCCGTGACCCGGCTGGGGGATTCAGTGCTGCTCACCAGGGGTGCAGCAGTCACCCCTTTCCAAAGCAGCAAGCAGCCGCTTCGCCCCTCGTCTGTAGGAAACCTTCGCTCCTCCTGGGGAGCCGTTCTGGGGAGATAAGGCTGAATAAGAGCAGAACGAGGTGTCTGCGTGCTGGGCTTGAGGAAAGGGGCTGCTGCCCACTCTGCCCTGGTGGAATGCTGTGCAAACCTGGAGGCAGGAAGGGTTGGGGTCCCTGAGCACCCCGCAAGCAGGGGCGTTTTGGGGTGCCACGCACAGGGGTGCAGCACCCACGCTCCTGCAACAGCACAATGCGCAGCCCCGCACGAAAGCAAAAAAGCAAACCACCACCACCACCAAAAAGCAAAATAATAAACATACTAATTAAAAACAATCAGAAAGCAGCAGGGTACGTACGTTGCAGCAGTCCATGGCGGTGCGGGGCTCTCGGCGCAGGTGGCAAGTTGAGCGGAGCTGCTTGCCTACGTAATGCGCTTCCTCGGGGCGCCGCTCAGCCCACCTCCCCGCCAGCACTGCTGCTCCTGCCAGGATCAGGATTCAGCTTTTCAATTTTTTTCCCCTTCTCTCTTTTTTTTTTTTTTGCCTCCTCCAATTTCTCTCCCAGCGACTCCCCTCGCCTCCGACTCCCTCCTAACGCTTAAAGGAGCCGGCAGCCCATGCCAGGGCTTCATGCAATATAAATCCCGCAGCACGGAAGATGCTATCAAATATTTAATGGGATGGGGTGCTGGGCACTGTGCCCACAGCCCAGATCAGGGTGGGGGGGCTGCGTTTTGTTCCCAGCAGAGCTGATTTCGCTGTGGACATGGGGGCTGGGGTGCACCAGGGTCACACACACCTGCAGCAAGTGGGGTTGACGTGACCTTTTCAGGGTGAATTTTTGGGGGGTGATGATGTGACTTTTGGGGGTGATGTGACTTTTCAGGGGTGATGCTGAGCCCTCAGGCCGGGGGCTTCACCCCCAGCTGTGTTTTTGCAGGAGCAGAGGGAAACCTTCCCACACCAGCTCTGACCTACTTAGCGCTGGGCCCCGAAGGAGGGCACGGATGAGGATGGTGAGGAGGGCTGCTCACGGTGGTCGCACTCACAGCAGCATCTCACTCCCAATTTGGGAGTGTTTTCTTACAAAACGTTCAACCTGAGACATCTTTGGGGGTGTTGTGCCATTCCCCTGGGCCACGCTGTCACCAGGAGCCATGGGGACCCCCAGAGCAGCTCAGGGGGTGCAGCCGCAGCCCCCCGCATCGCCCACCTCACACGCCTCTAATCCGGGTTTGGGGTTGCTAAGCAACCACACAACTCGCCTGTGGGCTCCGCACAGCAATGCTGGCTCTGGCCAGCCCCCAAAGCACGCTGTGGTCCCCCAGAGCCCGGTGGGGATGGGTGCCCCTAGGCAGGCTGCCTGCAGGGCTGGCCTCGCCACCCACCCGGGGCTTTTGTTGCAGCAACCTTCCCACTGCCGTCAGCTGGCGTCACTGGTGTCCCTGTCACCATCGCGGTGGTCAGCACCTCCGTCCTGTTGTCATCACTGTCCCTGTTCCTGTCACTGTCACAGTTCCCACTGTTGTTACTGACCCATCACCACCCCCACCGCAATCCCCACCTCCACTGTTGTCCCTGTTCCCATCTCAGTATCTCTGCCCATCTCACCATTCCTGTCCCCATCCCCTTCATCACCCTCATTCTTGTTCCCATCCCAACCTCAACATCATCATCATCTGCCTCCATCACCATCCTTGCCCCATCATTGCTCCTGTCTATCACTCTCTGTGTCCCCATCCCTATCCCTGTCCCCATTCCCATCCCTGTTCCTATCATCATCTCCGTTCCCACTCCCAACACTCTTTATCCCTGCCCCATCCTCTCCCCCCGTACTTGTCTGTCCCCCTCCCTATCCCTGTCCTCTTCCCCATCCCTGCACCCCTCACTGTCCGTCCTCCTTATCTCCATATCCATTCCTTTCCCCATCCCTTGTCACCATCTCTGTTCCCTTTCCCATCACTGCCCCTGTTCTCTCCCTGTCTATCTGTCCCTGTCCCCATCTCCACATCTCCATCCCACCCTAAGAGGGGTTGTGGGGGTTATCCACAGCCGCCTCCAGGTGCAAGCACTCGCAGTGGCACGCAGGTTGCAGGGCTGAGCATCCCTCGAATCCCCACGAGCTGCTCACTCCTGCTCTCCCAAGCGGAGCCAGTTTCAAGTCCCTGCAAATGCCACCTCTTCCCACCAGCGCGGGGAAAAAATAGCTGCGCTCTCAGCACCGATCTGCTCCAGCTTCCAGACAAAGGCTGCACCGCTCAGCCGGTGTTTTCAGATGGGAAACCAATCCCCTTCTCTTTTTAGAGCCTCCGGATTGATCGCTGTTTCCTGGCAAGGCAAGAGGAGGCATTTCTGGGGAGCTAAGCAGAGCCAGGGCGATAGGTGCATCGAAGGGATGGCTCCAGGAAAAATCTGTGCTAATGGGAAACTTCAAAAATTGCGGTGCAAAAAGCTCATCCCATTACCTGCCAAACCTGTAAAATCTCCCAGTGTAAGGGATCTGGGGAGCGTTTTGGCCCTGGACTCCCAGAACCAGCTCCATCCGCAGCTCCCCAGTCCTGGCAGAGTCGCTGATCACCACGAATCCCGCAGGCTGCGGAGGAGGGACGCAAAATGCCAGAACATTTCTAATCATTAGCAGCATTTTGAGCCTGTGCCAACCTCTGCCTTCTTCTCCCCGTGCTGCTGCTTACAGTGAGGGCACCCCAAAAACCATCCGCCCTGAGCAATGCTTTCCAGGCACTCAGAAACCCCTTAGCATCACGCTGGGATGCAGAATAACGCATAACCCATGGGATGGAAATGGGTGACAAGCCCCAGCTTGGGGACATGCTGGCACAACTCGGTGTTGGCACAGAACCCTTTGGGGAGCGGGGCTGGCAGCCGGCGAGGCGGCGCAGGGTCAGGGCGCAGCGGCTGGCACCAGCCTGCATGGGGTCCCCGCCAGCTGTCCCCATCCCTCCTTCCTGTTTTTCTCAGCCTGCATATGGCAGCTCCCGACGCCAGTGCTGCGAGGCGGCATGGCTTCCCTCCGCGGTGAGCCTGGGGGCCCGCCGATCCCTCCGAACCGAGCGGCCCTCCATCGCCCATCGCCCACTTTTCACCCCACTGTCCTTTTCTCGGGGCTTTGACTTTTGCCTGCATTTCACCATTGCCTCCCAAACACACGCGGGAGGACCCCAAATTGCTGCAGAGATACAGGCGCATCTCAGCCTTGGTGGGGGGTGGTGGCAGTGGAGCAATGTCACATCCCTCCTTCTCACAGGGACGATATTAAATTTTGACAACCTCCAGGGATGCGGGGCCCTAAATATAGAGCATTAAATACCATCTCGAGGCGCGCGCCTTTACAGAGCTTCTCTCCCCTCTCTCGGTCGTGCCGGAAGGGCACGGCTAACACTGAGCTTTTAGGGGAGAAGCCTCAGGTGAGAGCCGCTAATAACAGCAGGGGCCTCGGGAGAGCGTTACTGGAGGCATTTTATTAAGTTCTCATTATGCAAGCGCCTTGGCGGCAGCGCGAGAGATAATTATCCGCCCTGCGAGCCGCCTGGGAGGGAAATGTAGGTTCTTCAATCGCGGCTCCTCGTTTTGGGTCAGGACGTTCGGGTCGGGCCGCTCCCGGCGGAGCCGTGCCGGTTACGGGGCGTCCCGGGGGCCCGAGGCCGGGCAGGGGGGCTCGGAGAAGGCTCTGCGCGGCCCCCGCAGCCCCCGGCGTGCGCAGAAGCCCCGGAACGCAGCCTGGATTTTCGTAGCGGCGTCGTCGGAGCTCAGCAGGCGGGCGCGGGGACGGCGCTGCGCGGGGCGGACGCGGCTCAACGGCGGCCGGCCGGGCCGGGTCGGCCGTCAGCTCCCCGCGGGGCAGCGCGAGCGGCTCACCTGGCGCTCCGGCACCGCCCCGCTGCTCCGCGCCGCCCCGGCCTCTCCTGCGTCCCCGTCCGGCGCAGCGGAGCTGCCTGGGAAGGAAGCGCGGCTGAGGCCCGGCGGCAGGGCGGCCGGACGCCCCGGCCGGGCGCACGGGAACGCGGCGGGGCAGGCGGGGCTCACTCACGCTCCCTCTCAGCCAGCAGCGCCTCGAAGTATCGGGCGATGAAGCCCGGCACGTCGTCGGGCTGCGCCCTCAGCACCTCCCGCGCCATCCCCTGCAGCAGCTCCTCGAAGCCGCCGGGCAGCCGCGGGGCGCCGCGGGGGTCGAGAAACGACATGGCGGCCACGGCGAGCGGAGCGAGCGGGACTCGAACCCGGGACCCGACCGCCGGGAGGAGCCCCTGCGAGACCGCCAGGGGGCGCTGTCCGCACCCGTCGGCGCCCGCCGCGCGTGCGCAGAGCCGCCCGAAGGGTTGGG